ATCAATGCTTCACTAACGACTGGCACATTCCCTCCTGCCTTCAAACAAGCCCAGGTAAGTCCACCACTCAAAAAACCCTCCCTTGCCCCTACTCAAGCAGAAAACTACCAACCACCCTCCCCCTTCCTGGCTTAAATCATTGAAAGAGCTGTCTCAAAGCAGGTCACAAAATTCCTCTCCCAACATAATCTCCTTGATTCTAACCAATCCAGCTTCAAGAGTGGTCACTCCACTGAAACAGTGCTCCTGCCAGCAACAGAATCCTTGAAAGAAGCCAAAGCGACAGGCCAATCCTCAGTTCTTAGCCTGCTGTACCTATCAGCAGCATTTGATACTGTAAACCAGGGCATCTTACTAAATAAGCTGGCGGACATAGGCATCGGGCATTGCACACTCTTGGTTTGAATCATGCTTAACTGCACAATCCTTCAAGGTGTCATGGCAAGGCCCAACATCGACTAACACTATCTCACCAAAGGGGTTCCCCAAGGCTCAGTCCTGGGTCCCATTCTCTTTATGACATACACCATTTCGCTGGGCTCGATCATCCAGTCACATGGCTTCTCCTATCACTGCTATCCAGACGACACTTGGTTGCCTCTGTTGCTCGATCGTGCCGCTTCTCTTTAACATCAGGAAGATTAGGCCATATCTAACCCAACATGCCTAGTACAGGCTTTAGTCATCTCCTGCCTAGACTACTGCAATGCCCTCCCAACAGGCCTTCCAGCCTGTGCTGTGAGACTGCCACAGATTTTCCAGAATGCTGCAGCCTGTTTGGTTTTTAACCAGCCAAAGAAAAACTCGTCACACCCTTGTTTACTGAACTCCATTGGCTTCTCTTAGCTGCTCGTATCATATTCAAATCACTGATGCTGGCCTACAGAGTGTTTGATGGAGCTGCGCCCATTTACCTCAACACCCTCTTATAGCCCTATGTTACCGGTCGCCCACTCTGTTCCTCCAAGGAGTCCCAGTTAACACAGCCAATGCCCCTTACAGGTCAATATAGACTCTTCTCATCTGCAGTTCCACGCTAGTGGAACGAACTTACAAGCACATCAGAGCATCAGATTCTCTTTCCTCCTTCAAGAAATCCTTGACGACCCAGCTCTTCCGAGAATATATTTTGTCTTGAAAGCTTTAAATGCACTTATTTCCTGATAGCACTCAATGTATGGTAATTGTGTAATCTATATCATACTTGAATGTTAAATCCTTAATGTTAAATCTTCTTCTAGTAAATTGCACCCAATGTAAGGTAAGTGTTTAACTGTTGTTGTAGTTGAATGTTAAACTCTCTTTTTGTAAGTCGTTTGGATAAAAGTGTCTTCTAAATGCATGGATGTAAATGTAAATGGGACACTTTGACCCATAAATCATGAAATGACTGAGCCTTAAATTGAACTAACAGATGAGTTATATGTACTGAAAATTAAATAATCAGTCAGGTATAACTTTGTCAGATTGGTTTTAGTATAGATTGGTTTGTTTTATGCACCAGTGTGAGCTCTGAAAAATCAGTTTCAAGGACCATTGGGCACTACCAACCTCACAAGATGTAGCCCATGTAGGAATGGTTATTAAACTCACCAGTGTGACATGAGACATAAACCACTGACATGCCTCAGAAGTTCCATTATGAGCTCAAGTCATGACAAAATTATTGACAAAAATAGTGTAATTTGTGTCCTTAAAGCCAACTGTCAACTGGTTCCTCTGTACATAAAAATTTGCTTTGCATTTCTATAGCAATTGTCATTTTATTTAAAAATTGATGGACAAAAGTCACTAAATAATATACAGTAGAAAACACACACTGAATAATTTATATTGATGTTAGTAAGTGAGTTTTAACTGATGCATCTTTATGAATTTTGAAACAGTCATTCAAGTCACGAAAACATACATTGCAGCAAGCGGCAGAATAAAATTGACTAAGACATGCGTTTCCACATTCCGCATTGGAATGGAAATCATTCTGAAGTCTTTTGCCTAAAATCTACAACTAAAGGGTCTGCAAATGAAGGAAAGACTGTGGATGGATGCCTCAAGACTTTGGTTGACCTGCTCTTCACCGACACACGTTTCACCTTTTCAACAACACTACCTCAGACAATCATGGCTATTGCTGAAACAGTCTGTTCAAAATGCTTTTGTCATTCCATAGATTGAATATTCTTTAAATGTAACTGTAGGTCCTCCCTGTTTGGGTGGGTTTTGCAGAGGTGAAAAGTTTATTTCATATGCTGTCTGACTCACTGTATTATTGGTAAGGGAGTACACAATGTCTGTTCTGCATAATTCATGTTTACATCTTAACCTATGGTAACTTTATGCTAAAAGGGTATATTCATATTTTCAAAAATATGTCTTTATGTAAAAAAAAAAAATTCTGTGTTACAAGACTTTAACTTTATCATTCAAAAAGTTGAAAAGTTATATATAGATCAGTATACCATTTTAATGGTTCAATATATCAGTCTCCAGTAGAGTCTGATCTGTTGTATTTAAAATTAAGACTCAGTTCCCTAGGTTATGGTACTTCATGTCAGAATTCAGGGACACACTCGGTGTAATATACTTTTTTTAAACTACAAGTAACATGTTTTAAACGCAGTTACACTCACTAAAACAAGCTAATTAAGTAATTTAACAGAAAATGCTTTTAGATTTATAGAGTGGATTTATCATCAATGCTCAGCAGAGTAACACGTGCCAGTCCAGTATGTATCTCCTCTAAAAAAGATCACAGCATTTTTTTTGTCTGCAAATTGTTGTGGTCCATTTCAGCCCTTTGCCTTCATGTGACATATTGAAGTGTGATATGTACTGAACTGTAAATGCTGTGTAAGCTGTGTTTATTTCTTCTGCCCTGACCACAGCATCTTCAGTAAAAGACTACAGTGAAATTACCTATTATTCCTGTGATATTTGACAATATTTTTATGCAAGACTGAATGTCAATTAAAAATGATTTAATTACGCCCAAGAGTTCACAGGATTTTAGACCAATATAAAAACAGCTTTAGGGAAACTTTTTAAAATAATCTCAAGATGTTATATTATGAGAATTAGTTATAGAAGTCTGATATGGTAAGCAAACTTCAAGGTAGAATGAAATCTCCAGGCTTTAAAAGAAGCCATTAAAGAAGCCATTAAATCAAACAAGTTTATGGACTTAAAATTAAGAAGCAAATGAAGAAAGAGGAGAAGTTAATCATTTGTATCTCCTCTTTTAATGGCACTCTTTGGACATTAATTTGTCAGAAAGACTGAGAATGAGAGTGATTAAAATCTCTTAATCAGAGGAATTACACTGACAAATGGGCAAAAATTACCCAAGGGACCCTTTTGTTTCTTTGACATAACTACTACAAGATAAAAAGGCAATAACGTTGCTGAAACTTGTTTCAGCTAAGCTGGATAAAGTATCATTTGGAGACACAAGCCAAAAAAATTAAAAAATACAAATTCATCCATCCATCCATCCATTCTCCTCCGCTTATCCGGGGTCGGGTCGCGGGGGCAGCAGCCGGAGCAGGGAAATCCAGACTTCCCTCTCCCCGGCCACTTCAGCCAGCTCCTCCGGGGGGATCCCGAGGCGTTCCCAGGCCAGCCGGGACACATAGTCCCAATACAAATTCACCCAAAATAAAAAATACAAATTTAATGAATAATGTACTAATAGTAAAACATGAAGATTGTAGATTATTTATTAAAAAATAATTATATAACTATACATTTTATTATTACACAAACAACAAGAATAGAAGCTTCCTTATGCTCCATAAAAAAAACAACTCAAGCTGGATGCAATGTCAGCTCAAGAGCTCACCAATTTTCTGCTTGTGGGTTAGATTCTTGAAAAAGAAATGTTCTGCCTTTTTGTAGTGTCAGAATAAAGACTCATGGCACGGAGCAGTATCTTTGAGCAAAAGAGCACACAGATGCTCTGATTTAAAAAAAAAAAAAAAAGAAGTGGGTTAACCCTCCTGGCAAAATCACACTAGTCGGATCCTACTTTGCCCCCACCAACACCAACCATACTCTGCTCCAAAAATACCTCTTCACATGAACAGGTGTGACTTACACCTGTGCATTGGTGATGTGTGATGTGTGTGTTAAAAGCTACTCAACTAAATCATGTTTTATTTTGTCCACGCATAAATAAAAAGAGGCCTTTTTGCATCAAATCTAAACTGCCACAGATAACTGGACTGCCTGTATGTGAGGTTAAGCAAGATGGCTTGTGATTAAATGGAACTGCCCAAACATGTGTCTCAGAGGCCATGTTGTCAGACATGTTGTTTTGGTACTTAACTGTACACATCAAAGAGATAAGCCCCTGGGGTCAAGAGAGAAGTCGAGTAGGCAGAGCTTTGAAGACGACATGAAGCTGTGTTTCATTATTAGAAGCATCCCAACACTGATGAGTAGATGCCGCCTCTCTGATGGAATTCAGTATTGCCCTGTTTAATAACAACAATCACTGTCACTGGAAATGATTTTGTGCCGACTGAAATGCATAAATCAAATCTATTAAATATGCAGAGACTGCATTGTGACCTAGATTTCACAATTGCATTTCTAAGCGTCACGTCAGGTGAAATAACGGTGCGCACGAGGCAGGGTGAACTACACCGTGCCTCGTGTGCACAAATGATGGAAACCATTCAGAGTTGATGTTTTATTTTGTTCTTGCTGCCTGCACTTTCTAATCGGAAAAGACCCACTCTCTGAGCACCGTAGCTATCAGCAACTGCTTTGGGGAGGACAAATATAGTGCCCGTTGCCATGGTTATAACAGAGAAAGCTACCACACAAATAGAGCAATGAGACCACGAGGATGCACACCTACACATATCTCCCCACGTTCCATCCACAGATGAGGAGAATCTACCCATGAGTGCAAGTATGACAGGTGCAAACATGTAGGCAGATGTGTGTCTGTGTGTGAGTGCGTGATGAGCACCTGTGGAAGTTAAACACACACTCACCGTCACAGTGGGGATGGCAGTGACGAGGGAGTAGACGAGAACGGGAGGCGCCTTGCTGTTGTCCTCTGGTCCTGGGCACGGCTTGGAGTAGGCTTTGTCGAAACAGAAGAATCCCTGGACGTGTACGGGGAAAGTGTCCGTGTACTCGAAATAATACGCCAGCAGAACGGTCCCTGCCATGATGACCAGCTGGAAATAAAACATGTTGGTCGCAGCTTTAAAACCAGATCCACAGGAGTTAGAATAAAAGCGGCAGCGAGCAGGTGAACCAAAAGGAAATGAACGCGGTCTAAAAGAAATGAAAAAGGGAAATATTCACAGGCAAAAATGATGGATGCTCCCATAATGTGAAAAGTGAGCCATTTGTGCATGGAGAGATGGTGAGGGAAGAGTCTGAGAGTGAGAGGCAGAGAGTTGGGGAGGGAGGGTGGAGAGGATAGAGACGGAGGGAAACAAACAAGGAGAAAGCTACAGAGGAGAAACTAAAGCAGAGTGAAAGTGAGCGATCCCTTCAGCAGTGTCAGTATTCAGTAGGAGGAGAGAGAAACAAATGGAACCCCCCACCCACCCCCCAAAGAAACGCTTTGTGGAGGAACAGAAGAGGAACTGGATAAGGATGGGGGGAGGCACAGATGGGTAAGACTAGGAAAAAAAGACCACTGAGCGCAGGGAATAAGACAAGAAGAATTACATATGCATGTGTGGATCTCTGCATAACTAAAGTTAGGGCTGATAGTTATAAAGTGTCTGCTATATGGAAATCACGAGCCATGAAGCATAAAATATGACCCTCATTATTATAGAAAATAAATAATAGCATTAGCAATTCATGAGATTGTACGTGTGAGAGAGAGGAGGAGAAGGGGTTTAAAAAACCTATTCTGCACGGATGAAACAGATGCACTAGTACTAATTATTCATTTCTGCTCCAGTAAACAGCACACTAATGTATTTGGTTGGGTCTGTAGTCAAAAGCAAGTAACCCTAATGTAAGCTTCCCTTAATTTGTAGCGAAAAAACTGAAGGTTTGAGAATCATCCTTTTGTCCCTCGAGAGTGGCCTGAAACTGTGAATGGAGAAAAAGGACAGGGAGTTCAAAGCTAGCAGTGGCTAGCAATGATTAGTTTCATGATTCAAACTTCCACTGAATGCAAAAAAAAAACAAATCAGTGGTGAAACATAAGGGGCTACTCGTGGCTGGCTGGACTCCAGCCAGCCTTGAGTAGGACAGTGGGGCAGGAATGTAGCAGCAGTTTGGTGGCTGATGCTCTTTAACCTTAAAAAAGGTTGCAACATGTCCATGTTTCATCACTGCTCAGTAGAATATTACAAAATCACAGCATGTACTGTCAAATAGCTCCCAAAAAAACCCCAAAAAACATTTATTTCTGCACAAAGCATGGGCTGCTGAGGGGATATAAAATGTTTCTTATCAGTATTTCTTTAATTGTTTCTTCAAGCATTGTATTATAACTCAAACTAACATGAAAACAGAAATTATTAAGTTACTAGAGGTAGTTATACAACCAGGAAGTCCATGCAAGGATAGTTATTTCAGTCATATTCATAAACAAAGGAAGTAAATGGTATATTGCTTGAACCATTGCCAACCATCTTCTGGATGTTTCCCTTTCTCAGCACACCTTATTTGAGTAAATTAGTTTTTAATAGTCTTCAGAAGAGCTTGACGGTGGTCTAATTGATAAATAACATCACTTTTTCATGCTATCTAAATAAATGTATGTAAACATAACCTTACCTAATGCCACAGTTTGTTACAATGCAGTTACTTTAAATAATTCTATAAATGATGGAGAGCATACTATTTGATATGTCAATATGCTATCAATACTTTTATCGAGCATTGTCATCTACATTAACATATGTAAATGGAATATGCTAATAAACATGCAAACAAAATAACAATGTAGTAGCTGAAAGGGAGTTTGCTGATTAAAACACTGAGGCAGGAAGCAATAGCTTATCTCATTTGTAGCATTACATCCCAAGCAAGGGTCCATGCAACCTAGGGTAGTGCAAAAACTCACAGGGGTTTCACATGGTTTAAAAGGTACAGAAGTTGCTAAAATTACACTTACATATTTACCAAAACATTTCCTATGTCTTGGATTGTTAAAGCCCGACAGGATAAACCACTTCAAACTCTACTTTAACTCATAGGTGTACAAGTTCTTGTGCATTTAATGAAAATAGAGGAAAAAATGTTCTTGTGATTGTGACATCTACATCTAGACAGACCGCTGACTGATGGATTTTTAAATGACATACTTCACAGACATAATGACCGTCCACAATGAAACCGAAACGCTGATGCTGGGCTTCAAATGACATATTCTGCATTGAAAAGACACTCACTTATTTTAAACTTTTAAACTTTGTTCCAATTGATTAATTACCTTATTGCCTCTTTATAGTTTCCAAAATTCTCCTAATGGAAATAGACGATATGTATCCACTGGTGCGTGCTTACGGGAGTTATCCTTTCCCCAAAGGTCCACAGTAAAGGGACATTGTCAATAAAGTGAGTGCCTTTAGCTCTCTCAAGCAGAATCCTGTCTATTTTTCAGACATATTTTTCATAACTTTACGCATGCGTGTTTTTCTGTTTTAAAGAGCGTAGGTGTGTTTCCTTGAGCTGTGTGTTTGAATACGTTTGTGTGCATGTGGGTGCATTCCCATATCTGATGAGGAACTCTGACACAGCCATGCTGTGGTGAACATTTATTTCCATCATCCAGTTTTCTCCTCTGCTCAAGCTACAGAAGGCTTGAGGGAGGGAGGTTTATGGAGGTGGGAGGAAGAGAATGAAAGAACAACCACAAATACCCATTGAAGTTTAAACAATTTTTTGGGACAAAAAAATAAAAACATTTCTGAGAGATTGAATATAACATTTATTAAGGTTAGATCGCCACATGATAGTATTCCATTTAATAAAATAAGTGGTGTTATTTATCTTCATCATCAATATAAACAGGAAACAAGTTTGCTTAATTTTTTAGTGCAGGCTTAGCCAACATGTCAAATGGGCTGTGCTTTAACCACAGCCGGTTTTTAAACATTCTTAAAGGTCAAAAAGGTTCAAGTTTACAGTTTTATAATTCTCATTAACGCATTTTAGCACAAGTCACCTTGAAACATTCATTTACATAAAGTCAAAGCAACTGTCATGCAGATGAAAGCTCATTTGCATTGCAAGAGGGCAAAGTCCCTTCTGTTTTTCCCCAGTGTTCTCAGATCCAACACACACTTTCTTCATAATTTTCGCACAACCAAGTTCTACCATAACAACTGAAAATGTATTTCAGCATTAGTCTTCTCTCGAAAACTGAGCCCTCCGAAGCCAGTAGAAGGTGATAATCGGGTGCTAATGCAAAAAAAACAACAATGATAACAATATCTATTGTCTATACAGGATCAAAATTAATAGAAAATACAGTATGTCCGATAGAATGTTGAATAATTTCACTTAACTTTGATTCAGAACCACACAGTATTGTGGGGGATGTATGCTTTAGTCCCTCAACCTCTCATGGCCCAGTCAAGAAGGTTGGTGGCATCAACAAACTTACTCAAGCAACAGCCTGTAAAGTAACATGTGTAGTAGGAGCTTCATGTTTCAGCACGGTGCCTCAAATGAGTGTAAAAGCTTGACAGTTTGTCCGTATATCATATATCTTAGGCCTGACAAGAGTCAGTTTGTTATTGTAAATGCAAGGTTGACGTCCCTATCAATCCGACAAATTTATTTCACCACCTCTCTGTTGGAACACAGCAGTATCAAACAGCCACATCAATCAACATCTGTCAGTGGAATAACATACAAGTGGAGGCAGACTACATCGAGTGGTGCTATACAAAGAAACATTAAAAAACTATACAGAAAAAAATGGATGGAGAGATGGGTTTCTTTTTAGAATAAAAAAGGGAATAACTAGCAACACTGAATGATAAAAAAAAACACTTATATTAAGAAAATGTTCAGCCTATTTCACCCAGCCCTGTGATAGGTAAAATTATTGAGAGACTAGCCTCAGATTGGAACCAGTTTGAGCCAGTCGGCTAAACAAGCAGTACTTGTCTGACCTTTTAAATTCTGCTGTTTGGCTCACTTAAGTGAGGTCTATACAAAAGCATATACTCAAATACCTTTTAGGCTGTACAAGTGTGTGTTTAATCATAACTATCCTAAAATGCAAATATCTAGATAAATGTTTTACTGTTACATGCTCTCTGTAACATTGTCCATAATTGCCCCTTTCAATGCATTTCAGTGTGACTTGATCCAAATCGACTTTTTTTGGTTACCATTAGGTAGTAGCACCTGCCGCCAGTTCCAATTTTAGAGCATATTCAGCCCAGGCAAGCTGAGTTGAAATGACTATTCATTGCAGGCCACTGATTGGCCATGGAATAGACTTTTATACAAGTACCCTGACATTTGTAAAGATGTAAAAACAAAATACGATTTTATCGTTATCATCAACAGGAAAAACAGCTACAATAACTAGTGCTGCAATGAAAAGGTTTTAGGTGATTTAGGTGACCCTTTCATTGTTATATCTCATTTGTGTTGCATACAAATGATGCCACTGAGCTTTAAGGCGGTCTTGCTCTAATGACCTCTTGTAAGGTTTAAATGAAGCGAGTTGAGTAAAGTCAGAACTGAGTTGGTATAAGGGTTAGTGAAAAAGGCTCGTAAGTTATGCCGCAGCTCTGGGCAAATCTCACAACTCGGGAGGTCTGGCAGGTTGACAGGTCTTCAAACAAAGGAACTTTTATATAAAATCTAACTGTTTATTGTAACGTTTAACTGAGAACAGATTGCAACAACCATTCCTCCAAATGAAACAATAAAACATATAATTTGTTAGAGCCCTTTGGAAGCTTAGTGTTTGTTGGCACTCACGGTTGGAAAACACAAATGTTTCTTCCCAAGGCAAAGCAAGACACAAATTACTTAGGGGAAAGATTTTGGTTTGATTGCAAGGTTTCTGCTAAGACTTGAGAAGGCAGGAACATGGGGGATCTTGTCTTCACTTAACCCCATTTACACCACAGTCACCGGACCAAGCCCTAATACAGAGGTAGTACTTGTTGGTGCTTGTTGACCCAGAAGTGACATAGCAGGAGCGCTCATAGTGACTCGAGATAGACGGGAATTAAGT